TGTGTGTGGTTGGGTGTGTGTGTGTGATGTGTGTGGTGTGTGTGTGGTATGTGTGTTTGTGGTGTGTGGTGTCCGTGGTGTGTGGCGTGTGTGTGCTGTGTGGTGTGGAGTGTGTGTGTGGTGTGTGTGGTTGGGTGTGTGTGGTGTGTGTGGAGTGTGGGAGGTTGTGTGTGTGGTATGTGTGTGGTATGTGTGGTGTATGTGGGAGGTGTGTGGTGTCTGTGGTGTGTGCCATGTGTATGATGTGGGGGGTGTGTGGTGTGTATGGTGTTATGTGCTGTGGGGTGTGTGTGTGCTGTGTGTGGTGTGGGGTGTGTGTGTGGTGTGTGTGCAGTGTGTGTGGTGTGTGTATGGTGTGGGGTATGTGGGGTGTGTGTGGTGTGGGGTGCGTATGTGTGTGGTGTGTGTGCAGTGTGTGTGGTGTGTTTGTGGTGTGTGTGTGTGTCCGTGTACACTCCTGCACACATGTGCACACTGTGCTCCTGATGCCTTTAAAACTATCCCACAGACGTCTAAGATACACTAAGTGAGGAAACCAAAGGGCAGAACAGGGCTTCACACTGATGTTGAAAAAGGGAAATATAAACCGTTTCACAAAGGGTGGGTAGGGGGAGACTTATTCTTTTAGAGATCTGTTCAGACTTAGTCACAGAATCCACAAGCCTGGGACTGGCTTCACAATCATCCCAGGTGGGAGTAGGTGGTGGGAAGGCGATGCTTCCTTGAACCCTACTTCTTGCATACGTTTGAATTTTTCAAAATGAAAAGAGGCAGACAGACATAGGACAGACATGCCTGTAGGTGAGATTCTGAAGAAGTTACCATAAGCACACGGCAAACCAGTGTACACTACTTACACTTACACACCTAGAGCATGTCTGGAAGGACACCCAGGAACCTGGTGGCCTCTGAGGGGACAGGTGCTGGACAAGGAGACCTACTCTTCACTGTACCTAACCTTCTGTAGTGTCAAATGCCATGTCACGTGCTTACATTTAACAAATCTCACCATTTTGAGAAATGGTGAACCCTGAGGACATCATGCTAAGTGAAATAAGACAATCACTTAGCCACCCTCACCATGGGAGGGCTGCCAGGTCCAGCCATGCTGTGGGGGTCTGGGGACACCTGGGAGACCCTGTTTCCACTGTCAGGGCTGACCTCAGAAGCCTAGCTCCACCTGGTGCCAGGAGAGGCTGTCCTCCCGGGACCCACAGTCAAGGTCTGCTTTCAGCTTTTAGATGACCCAACACATTTCTTGTGGCAGGGAATGTTGGCCATCCGGCCACCTGTCAGTCTTCCTCCTTCCTTGCCGGCAGACCCCGGCTGTGTCAGGGCATGAGCCCAGCCTCGGGGAGTCGGATCTTCAGCTTCGTGTGCTGTTGCTGAAGCACTGGGTCCGGGGGTTCCGGGGGGATGTGGCCTGGTTCTGCCTGAGGTGATATCAGGGGAAGTTAGCCAGATGGCTCCCAAGAAAGACTCCCTTAGGGTGAAAAGTCAGGGGAAACCCTTACCCCACCACTCATTTTCTGCCTGGGATGCCCTCCTGTGAGGTGTCTGCAGCCCTGGCAGTCTCTTACAGTCAGGAGGCCAGCTCTGTAACAGAAGTCAACATCCAGAGGACGATGGTGCGCGCTGACTGCTGCTGAACCGTGGGCTGCCGGTCTCCGAGCAGCTCAAGAGTGAGCACTAACTGTCCTCATGGCTGGAAGCAGCTTGGGCTGCCACTGCTGTTGCTCATAGGTCCATGAATACCCATTTTACAGAAGACAAAACTGAGGCTCAGGGGAAATGAGTTGCCTGAGGTCACACAGCGCTCAGTGGGGAAGCCAGGGCTCCAACTCAGGCCCCTTGGGACTCTAAAGCTGGACCTATGTCCACTGTCCAGGGCTGCACCTACAGCTCCCGTCCTCACTCCTCCCCATGCCTGTTTCCTTGTCTGTAAACAGGGACAATAACGGCCCCACCTTATGGGTTGCCGTAATGAGTCCACAGAACTAAAGGGCCTGGCACGAGATCAGCACTTGTTGGCCAGATGGTTTTTATTACTTTCTTTCTCCAGCCGCAAGGTGCTAAGCCTCCAGGGACTTGACACCCAATGGTCACAGGGTCCTCAGGCCGTGTAGGGCCATCTGCCCCTCAGAAGCCGCCAGAGCTAGTGGAACCGTCAGCCTGCTGTGTGGCCCAGGGCCAGTCAGTCACTCTCTCTGTGAAGGAAGGCCTCCCTACATGCTCATAGGCTTGGGCCAGATGAGCTCCACAAGCCCCTTCGGCTCAGCCCTCAGGATCTGGTGAGCACCACCTACCCAACACCACCCTGACCTTTCTCTACACAGCAGTCCAAAGGATACCCCAAAAGTGAAAATCTGATGCTGTCCTTCCTGGCTTAAAACCTTTCATGGCTCAGCCGGGCGCAGTGGCTCACGCCTGTAATCCCAGCACTTTGGGAGGCCGAGGCGGGCGGATCACAAAGTCAGGAAATCGAGACCATCCTGGCTAACACAGAGAAACCCCGTCTCTACCAAAAATACAAAAAATTAGCCAGGCGCTGTGGCGGGCGCCTGTAGTCCCAGCTACTCGGGAGGCTGAGGCAGGAGAATGGCTCAAACCCGGGAGGCAGAGCTTGCAGTGAGCTTGCAGATTGCTGCACTCCAGCCTGGGAGACAGAGCAAGACTCTGTCTCCGGGGGAAAAAAAAAAATCACCTCCATGACTCCCTGCTACCCTTGCACACATGCAGGGCCTGTGCGCTGCCCCCACTTCTCCAGGCTCCCCTAGTGCTCCCTCTCCTGTCCTCCACTCCCCGCCAGACCTTTGGCACAGCTATTCCCTCTGCCTGTGGTGCTCGGCCCCTCCTGTCTGCCTGTTGACTCTTGCTCTTCAGTCTCAGCTCCAATGTCCCTTCCTTGGAGAGGAGTTCCTCTTCCGCTTCTAAACTAGGACCCTCTCAGGAGAGCTCTTGTTGCACCTCGTACTCCCCTTTAGAGCAGAATTAGTTAAGTATTAGTGTGGGTGGTGATCGGATGACATCTTCCCCTGCTGAACTGGTGGCTCCACTAGGGGAGGGACCTGGCTGACCTGCTTGCTGCTGGATCTCAGCATCCTGAACACAGTCTGCATGCAGTGGGTGCTCAATACATGCTGTCTGAATAAGTACTTCTGAGTGTGTGTGTGTGTGTGTGTGAGAGAGAGAGAGAGAGAGAGAGACAACCAGAGTGTGGGGTTCTTGGTGGTGGGGTACAGTTGTATCTGTGTGTTTGGGGTTGTGCATGGTCCCTGCAGGCCCCCAGCTGAAGTTGGGTGTGTGGGCCAGCGAACTGCCTAGTCCATCTGCTTGAGAATCACACCGGGGCTGGGGGTCCCTGCACACCTCCCCACTGCAGCATGCACTGAGATTTGGTCTCCCACTAGACTGTGAACTTCCTGAGGGCAGGTACAGGGTCTGTTTTGACTCTTTTTTATCTGCAACACAAAGAACTGTGCCTGGCCTCAGATTGTTGATGGATGGGAAGATAGGTAGGTAGAGACCCCGGGTCTCTCATCTTACCCCCAAGATTTCCCCTTGTCAATGCTCTCTGACAAAGCCTGGGTTTGGGGAGGACGCCCTTCCATGCCCCAGTGTGGGGTCCAGTCTCATGCCAACAGGTCTGCACTGTTGCTGTCAGGCTCCTGGCTGGGATGGAGGGGGGCATGCCTGGGTTGGGGGTCTGTCCACCTACCTGGTCCAGGTCATAGAGCTTCTGCAGGGGGCTTCTCCTCTCCCCACCAAGCCAGCTGGAGCCCAGGGCTCTGTTTCCAAATACTGTGGGCATAAGGAGAGAGGCGTAGCCACCACATCAGAGGGACTTGTGTGGAACTGGGGGGTTGGCCAACCCATCTAGGCAGATTTGACCCACCTCTGGCACTCAATTTCCTTCCCGGGTCTTGCCTACCTCCTAGGGGCACGGTGGAATGGGGAATGACAGGGGGTACTAACGGGGCAGAATTACACCAGGGTAGTGTCTTGTGTCATTCCTGCTCCCATGTCCTACCCTCCAAAGTTGGAGGGTACCAAGCAAGAGGGGACAAGTGGGAAGGTGATTCCCAGCCCACCAACCCTCTAGGAAAGGCCAGATCACTCAACCTCACCCACTGCCATCTGCCCTGCCCTCATGCCCCACCCCTCTGGGGCTCACCAGGCTGGCTGGCTGCCCAGCACCCCCAGATCCTGTGTATGGGCAGCCAGAAAGGTTTGGGCAACAGTGGAGATGGCACAGTAGGCTGCAGCCTCTCAGTGCCACCTTGCTAGGCTGGGTGACCCACTGTGGATGCCTGTGGCAGCAGTGCTTCCCCATCAGGGAATATGCTGCTTCGCATGGAAGGAGGTTCAGTCATCTCCAGATGAGGAGAGGGATGACGTCTGTCTGTCTCCCGACTGAGGAAAGTGATGCTGTCTGTCTGTCTGTCTCCCGACTGAGGAAAGTGATGCTGTCTGTCTGTCTGTCTCCCGGCCGAGGACAGGGATGCTGTCTGTCTGTCTGTCTCCCGACTGAGGAAAGTGATGGTGTCTGTCTGTCTGTCTCCCGGCCAAGGACAGGGATGCTGTCTGCCTGTCTCCCGGTTGAGGACAGGGATGCTGTCTGTCTGTCTCCCGGCTGGGGACAGGGATGCTATCTGTCTCCTGGCTGGGGACAGGGATGCTGTCTGTCTATCTGTCTCCCAGCTGAGGACAGCGATGCTGTCTATCTGTCTCCCAGCTGAGGACAAGGATGCTGTCTGTGTGTCTGTCTCCCGGCTGAGGACAGGGATGCTATCTGTCTGTCTCCTGGCTGAGGACAGGGATGCTCTCTGTCTATCTGTCTCCTTGCTGCAATCCTCAGTTTTCCTAGAACTATTGTAAGTAAAAATCTGTTTACCTATAAGTGTATTCCGTTACTCAAAATCTTTTTAAGGAATATCTTTTTAAGCATAGTCAATTAATATTAATATGTTCTCAGTAATATAGCCAATATATATGATCATATGCTTCTGGATCCCATTTTCATGAATATGATGATGATGCATATTAATAAACCAATAAGGTGTAAGGTGATCTTTGAAAAGATCTCAAAAACTGGCAAGGCTTTTGCTAGACTGACCAAGGAGAAAATAGAAAAGACTCAAATTACTAAAAACAGGAAAGAAAGAGGGGATATTACTACTGACCTTAAAGAAACAAGAAAGGATTACAAGAGAACTATGAACATATGTAGCCTAACAAATGAGAAAACATGTAAGAAATAGACAAATTCCTAGAAAGACAGAAATACCTGAAATTGACTCAAGAAGAAATATAAAACCTCAGCAGACCCACAAGTCAAGATGTTGAATTACTAATAAAAAAAAAATCCCACAAACAAAAGCCCAGGATCAGAGGGTTTCACTGGTAAATTTTACTAAATGTTTAAAGAATTAACACCAACCTTTCATAAACTCTTCCAAAAAACAGAAGAGGAGAGAACACTTCCTAACTCATTACATGAGGCCAGTATTATCTAGATGCCCAAACCACACAAAGACATCACAAGAAAAGGGAACTACAGAACCATGCCCTTTATGAATATAAGTGCAAAGTTCTCAAGAAATACAGGCAAACCAAAAATAACATCCTGTGAAAAAGTTTATTTTCCATGACCAAGTAGAATGGATCCCAGGAATACAAGATTGGCTAAATATACACAAATCAATCAATGTAATACACTATATTAATAGAATCAAGAAAAAAGCCCACACGCTTATCAAGAAATGCAGAAAAAGCATTGGACAAAATCCAATACCCTTCTTCATCACAAAACACACTGAACAGCTTAAGAATAGAAGGAAACTTTGCCAAACTGGTAAAGGGCATCAACGAAAAACCCTCAGATAATAGTGAAAGACTGGCAGCTTTCTCCCTAAGATCAGGAACAAGGAAAGAGTGCCTGCTTTTGCCACTTCTATTAATTGTACGGGAGGTTTTATCCAGGGTAATTGGTCAGGGAAAATAAATGAAAGGCATTCAGGTTGGAAAGTAAGAAGTAAAACTATGTCTATTCATAGATGACATAACCCTATATATATAGAAAACCCTAAAGAATTCACAAACCATAAGAGCTAATAAATGGGTTCAGCAAGGTTGTAGGATACAATATTAATATACAAAAGTCAATTATATTTCTATATACTAGCAATGAATAATCAAACAATATCAAAAATAATAAAGTAATAAGAAGTTGATAACAAAGGAAGTATAAGACCTGTACACTGAAAACTATGAGACACCATTGAAAGAAATTAAAGACCCAAATGAATGGAAAGACATTTCAGGTTCGTGGATTGGAATACTTAATGTTGTAAAGATGGCAATACTCCCCAAAGTCATTTACAGATTCTTTGCAATTCCTGTCAAAATCCCAGCTGCCTTTTTTGCCAAAATTGACAGCTGATCTTTAAATTCATGTGGAAATTGAAGGGATTCAGAATATCCAAAACAATCTTGAAAAAGAACAAAGTTAGAGGATTCACATTTCCTGATACCACAACTTTACTATATGGCTACAATAATCAAGACTGTGTGGTGCTGGCTAGGAGAGACATATAGATGAATGAAATAGCACTGAAAGTTCAGAAACAAACCCTTACATTTATGGTCAGTTGATTTTTGATGAGGGTGCCAAGACAATGCAATAGGGAAAGGACAGTCTACAATAAGTGGTGCTGAGACAGCTGGATATTCGCATGCAAAAGAATGAAGTTGTACCCCTTCTTCATACCACAAAGAAAAACTAACTCAAAGTGGATCATAGTGCTAAACACTGAAGTTAAAACTATGAAACTCTTAAGTGAAAACACTGACATAAATCTCCATGACCTTGGATTAGGTGATGATTTATTAGATACGATGCCAAAAGCACAAAGCAACAACATTTTAAAAAACAGATAAATTAGACTATATCAATATTAAAAACATTTGTGCTTCAAAGCACACTATCAAGAAGGTGAAATGACAATCCACAGTTGGAAGAAAATATTTGCAAATAATCTCTCTGATAAGGAACTAGTACCCATAACATATGGAGAACTCTTACAATGGAACAACAAAAGGCAGCCCAATTTTTTAAATGGGCAAAGAATCTGAACAGACATTTCTCCAAAGATATACATATGGCAATAAGCACATGAAAAGGTACGCAACATCACTAGCCATTAGTGAAATAGAAATCAACACCATGAGGATGGTTATTTTAAAAGACAGTAAATAACAAGGATGTGGAGAAATTGGAGCCCTCATATATTGCTGGTGGGGATATAAAGTGGCGCATCCATGAGGGAAAACAGTTTGGCAGTTTCTTAAAAAGCTAAGCTTAGAATTACCATACAACCCAGCAATTCCTCTCCTAAGTATGTTCCTAGAACTGAAAACTTGTTTACACAAAAACTTGTACACAAATGTTCCCATTGGCGTTATTCATGATAGCCCCAAAATGGAAACCACCCAAATCCATCAGCTGATGAATGGATAATGAAAACGCGGTATATCCTTAACATGGGCTATTAATTGACCATAAAAGGAATGAAGGACTGACTCATGCTTCTGTGTGGCTGAACCTTGTAAACGTTATGTTAAGTGAAAGAAGCCAGACATAAAAGGTCACCTAAGACACGATTCCATTTATATGAAATGGCTGTCTTAATATGTCCGTAAGAGTTCATAAAAACATTGAATATTCATAAGAAGAATATGTTCAAGAATTCAGGAACATGTGAGAAAAGAATAAATGCTTCTGTGATTCTTGGCCTTCAACCAAATGAAGAGTCTATAAATGTCACTAAGAAGAATCTATTCACTTGAGACAAACTTCTGGCACACCAGTAAACTTGGGAAATCTGAGAAACTGGTCTGTTGGCAAACTGACCTAGAGCAGTGGTTCCCAAACTTCAGCTTGTGTGAGGCCCATTAAACTCAAGAGTCCCTGGCCCCACCTCTGGAGTTTCTGGTCCAGCAGGTTGTGGAGCGGGGCCCAAGAATCTGCATTTCCAGCAGCTCCAGGTGAGGCTGCGGCTGCTGGTCTGGGAGCGTGCTTTAAACCGGCTGCACCGGTGCAGTGCCCAGCAGGCAGAACATGGTCTGTGCTGAATAAACAGAGGTTCATGGAAGGAACAATTGGCAGCTGGATGGGCCTTGCACTGGCCTCCAGAACCCTGCTGCATGTACCTAAATCCCATCGTCCAGAACCCTGCTGCGTGTACCTGAAGCCCACTGTCCAGGGTCCTGCCGCCCCCTGCCTGCCTCAGGCCCCCTCTGCGCCCCAGGCCATATCCTGTAAGGCCCAGGAACAAGGGCCAGACTCCAGTGACCAGGGCATGCAGAGGAGGCTGAGGCCCTCGGAGGTTCAGGACTGCCTGTGTCTCCAGGCCACTGACCAGCCCAGCATTTGACCTTGCATCTCCAGACAGTCAGGGATCTAAACTGCCGGACATGTCCCAGGAACGACACCGTCATCAGAAAAGGAGCTGACAGGCTGACAGGAGAGGGTAGCAATGCTGGCTAGTCATGCAGGTGCGGGGAGACCCAGGCTGGGTCTGGCCTGAGTCTAGCAGCAGCCATGGGGAGCTCCGCTGGTGCCACACCAGGCAGGACAGAGCCAGGCACCCCATGAGAGGAGGCCTGACCTTCTCGCCACGTTGCAGATGAGACATGTCCCTTTCCTGGGGACTGTGGCTGGGGACTGAGGAAGAACTGGTGTTCAGCAGCCTGTGTTCTGTGGGCAGAGGGTGGAGGGGCAGTCACAGTGACTAACAAGC